TGCAGGGGACGCCGACCGAGGAGGTCAGTAGCTAGGATGGCCGTTGGTGCCGAGAAGGTCGGGCCAGTGGACATCCGCTGACGATGGAGGAGGTCGAATCCGCGGATGGTTAGACATAAGTAAGATTTACTACAATATTAGTAGTGAAGACTTGTTAGTAGTCCAGTACCTGCTATAGTGTCGGCGTGCAGGTCGGCGTCCAAGTCGGCGTCCAAGTCGGCGTCCAAGTCGGCATCCAATTGCATTGTTTGATACTACTATTTTAGCTATTGTTACATTAGTCGCCTATGTAATGCAGCATCCAATTTTCAGCAGCACAATGAGCGGCATCAGATGAATGGCGGCGTCCCTGAGGAGGTCGGGTCAGCGGACTGGATCAGTGTACTGTAGCTACACTACGATATTCATTGGCAAGCAATCTATGTGCAAACATCAATGTCGGCATACTTCAATCAGGAGATGTTTGGATCAGTGAACAGTCCTAACAAAAGGGTGCTTGCATATCTAGCTAGTATTTGATATGTGTGATAAGTAGAAGGTATTCTCAGCATTAATATATCCATATAAACAATGAGCTCTGACAGCTAGTCGGCATCCACACAAAGTGACATGGTTGTGTCCACGGACAAGCTCAGGTAGTGTTGCCGCGGTTCGAAAACCCAGCCCAAATCGACTCCTTGAAATACCCTTTCTTGCCACAGTACCGACCACCTAGGTGTGAACCTTCGCGGTTTTTGGCCCCTACACAGCGACAAGGTGTGTTACCTGGATGTATGATAAGTGCAAGTGCAAGTTCTTTTGGCCTGGTTCCAGCTGGTTCGCCAAATGCGGCAACACTAAGCTCAGGTCTATAGATACTGATATACCAGCCAACCTGCTTTCACTAGACCTGGGACTGGTGCTGTAATACTGCCTACCATCAATGTACATGTCAAATGTCGGCATACTTGTCAAGTGTTGGCATGCATGTCAAACGTCGGCATACACATAGAAATCATCCTCACACCACAATGGCTACCAATGCCTGTAGGACCTTGGATTAGCACTGAACCTAAGCTCAATATTACTATAGCATCTTGAAACATCAGCATAGATTACCCAGTATTATTTTTACTGAATGTGATACTAATATACTACTGTAACTCAAAACGTCGGCATAGGTTTGACACCATCAATTTCACTCAATGTGATACTAGGATGCTATTGTACCTCAAAATGTCGGCATAGATTGCACAGTATTACATCAAATGTGATGCTAATATAGTGACTATCATAACTCAAATGTCGGCATAGATTTGATCTTATCACCCTCACTCAAGGTGATACTTGGATGCTATCATACCTCAAACTGTTGGCATAGATTACACAGTACCGCACTTACTGAATGTAATGCTAATAAACTATTGTACCTCAAAATGTCGGCATAAAGTTGATCTCATCACCTGCACTCAATATAATGCTAGTATGTTAATGTACCTCAAAACGTCGGCATAAATTTGACATCATTAATCTCACCCAATGTGATTCTAATATACTATTGTCCCTCAAAATGTCGGCATAGGTTTGATCTCATCACTCTCACTCAATGTAATACTAGTATGCTACTGAACTTTGAGGTGTCGGCGTAGATTTGACATCATTAACCTCACCCAACCTGATATTAACATACCATTGACCTTCAACTCTCAGTCAATTTCTTACCAAGCCGTACCAATCTTTTTTCGGTACTTTCTGAATGTTACTTAGAGTGGTTTGATAATCCACAAGAGAGAAATAAGCTTGGTTATCCCTCCCTTTCTGAGTATGTTTCCCGACATACTGTGTGTCAACTTTTTGATTATTGGTACAGTTTCTGTACATCCCAAGGCCCTGCTAAGCACATAGGATAGCTTATAGGAAGTATACAGTCAGTTCAAACTGCTCAAAAATGTGTGGTGACTGAGAAGTTTAATGTGAAGTAAACTCAGGGGCTATTATTTCTGACATATTCAAACAGGTGGATCAAGCAGCATAATCTGCTGATCCTTGTTCCTAGTATAATTCTTACACCTATAGTAGGAGTCAGGAAGTCTTACCCTCCTTATCAGGTGTTTATACAGCGATTTCTAGGTTGGATGGATGGATGAATCATATTAATGTCCAGCAGAGTTAAAGAACTCTAAGGCGGACAGTCCTACTCTAAGTACAAGTCGGTAGTGTAACGGGCTCCGCCCCACCACAGAAGACTCTGAGAGGATCAGATGAAGTTTTACAAAAGGTGTTCTCATCATGCATGAACTCAACTCCGCGCATATTGGTTTAAGCACCTACTTGTATGATAATGGGTTCCTAAGACATGATCTTGTCTCTGACTTCTGTAATACTTCATTTAGTGGGTACTCAACTGTCAAGGGTTCTACAGAGCATTATCATGACTCTCAGTTAATGGTAACACTCAAAAAACATAATAATATGTGCACCATAGCACACTTTTTAACTGTTTTCTAGCAATAGAATGCAGGGTAAGGTGCTCTATTTGGTAGATTGAGCGCTCTGTGGTGGCTTTGGTGGCTGTGAAGATGAATGGAATATCTGATCCACTATCAGAGCAATGGATGGCATGGAATATCTAGAATAACATATGTTTTAATAGCATTTCACACTTTTCTGAGATTTTTGTGGATGTAATGCACTATGCAGCTGGCCTAAGGCTACATTAAAGCAGATTTAGTGGTGTATAGTATGCCAAATAAGTGCCACAACCATTACATGTCAGAAAACACCTGTATGCAACAGTGATCTGTATGTCAAACTACCCTCCTAAACCTCCTACATTTGCTGAT